ACTGACTATTGGACCTTTTCAAACCAGCATTCCAAGTATTCTCTCCTCACTACAGCGTGAAAATTTGCTGTTTTATTACATTCTGCATCATTATGAATTAAATATGCTTCGGTTTTGGACTGTTAGTCAGATAAAACAAAACAATAAAAGATGCCACAATGATTTTTCACTTTTCTATGCCATTATAAAGACCAAAGATTCTATCTGCTGAGTGGAAAAATAATTAACAGATTGATTGATAATGACTTACAGTTAGTAGTTGTGGTATATAGTTGTGGCTATTCTGTATTTCACTAAACATTTTAGCAGGATTGCTGACAACAGAAGGACTAAAAAAAATCATTAAGATGATCACTGAAAGATTTTAAAATGACTATAAGATTCAAAAAGCTCAAAGGTGCGTAGTTTGGCATGTCAGGAAGTTGCTACTAATTCAGCTTCGCCTGAAGTCTGGACATGGCCTTTAACAAGTGGTTTGAGGAACAACAATCAGGTATTTGTCCCAGTATGAAGAATGAATTGGAGCCAAGTTTAATTTTTTCCTATGTCATGCATTGGATGGGCATTGTGTGTGGTGGCAACATGGCATCAGTCTTCAGTCAAGATGGAATTTTGCCATTAGTCACTCTAGATGGGTTTAGTTTGATTATTATTTAGTTCACCAGTCACATAAGGAATGCTATAGTCTTATATCCAAATTGGCTTATTTACTTTTGTCTAAAAACTTGCTATCTAACCATCACATCAGGCAAACAGAAGCATCAAATCCTCCCACCTGAAAAGCTGAAACTAAAGAATGTTTAACACTCGTATTTAAAATTAATCAAATATCAAAACTGTTGTCAATTTCTTTCCTGTCAGTCAACTCAGTAATTAGTGAAACACCAGTGAAAGTTACGATGGCAAAGTGTAAATTTAATATAAACATAATAGGGATAGCATGGCAAAATATGTCATTAATCTTACTACATAGCAGCTTTTCCTGGTGTTTTTGTATCATGTTCATGAAGTTGGCAAATAAAACTCATTAGTATTACTTATTGTATTTTTATACTGCCAAAAATGTAAATCTTTGAACTAACGTGACCACAAAAAGCTTGCCATTCAGGAATCAGAGGTCTTTTTAAACAAAGTGACCAGAGGGAAGATGAGGTTGGTGAATCCTTATGTGTTTGGGGAACATAATATGTGAAAAATACGAGCATCTGAACTGAGCTCCAGCTCCTAATCCCCCATCGGCTTTATCTATGTCCCTGGCCTCTTTCTCATTACAACATAACAAACATTAGCCGCACGTTTAGCTGTTTCATAGCCTCAATTCTTCATTAACACTCCCTCACTCCAGCACCATCACCATCCTGGGCAGCTCTCCTCTGGCCCAGTCCCTGCTGCTGCTACTGCAGCCTGGCATCCCAGACATCACCGAGCACATCGACACGAGAGAGTCTCAAACCAGCAACAAACAGCATCTAACGCTGGATGACAATCACCCACTTACGCTGGACATACCTTAGCACCCAAACTGTGTCATGAATTGTCGTATATGCTGCAGCAGTGTTACAAACATTAGCCACCGAGAGAGAAGAGAAAAGAAAAGCGAGAGGCCTGGGAGTTCAGAATTGCGTGTGAAAAAGTGTTTGATTTTGCCGTTGACACATCCAAGGCATTGCAATGGAACCAGCCTGCCGCAGCTGAAAATAGCTCATAATCAATCAACTGGCGGACACATATCTGTGCTCTTAAAACGTATAAATGTGCAATGCAGAGGGCGGATCAATGGGTGACAGGATTCCAAAAGCATCAATATGGACATGCTCTTTGGCATAACAAGCGCTCGCCATCGGCCAGTACTTATTTCCTGTGCCTCTGTCCAACGGGCCATCCAGCGTTAGGCCTGCTGGAAATAATATCTGCCAGTGGAGCAAGGTCTGTGAAGGACAACACAGATGAAATGGCAGAGGTATATCAACTCCCTTCGCAGAGGCTCAATACGACATATAGCTTCATCTAACCAAATTTTAATAGTGCTAGGACAATATATCTATTGTGTTCGGCTGTTTGCATGTAAGGCTCCTAACTGCAAATCTGTTCCTCCCACAAACAGCTACATGTAGGCCGACTTCCTCTTTAATTTACTCTCTGAGTGGCTGAAAGCACTCCTATCACATTCATGATCTAAGACAGAGCCTACTACACAAACACAAATCAGTGGACGTTCAATACACACACAAAAAGAGAGAGAACAGGTGTGGAGAACAATAGTAAAAGATGAAATGAAAGCTTCCTGAACTGAGTCTGGGATTATACGAGGCTAAAAGTAGCTAGCACTGACAAAGAACAAGGCACATACTATTAGACAGACTCTCACAGTCAAAAATATGTTTTCTGCACTTAGAGAAAGAGTCAAACTGACACATGAGACATTGAACAAGCAATATTAATATCAAAATGCCAAACATTTGCTTTAACACAGCCTGTGTCCAACACAATGACCTTTGCTCCCTTCCTTTCAACCCAGTTGGCTGCTGAAGCCGTCTGCCAGTGCTACTTCCAGGATAGCGACTGAGAACAGTTAGTATAGCTAAGTGGCCATAACAACAATAGGTGCGTATGCATGTGGTCCTTTACACACAGACAGGTCGGCTGCCATGTAGGACAGAGTGTCTATGAATGTCCTCCATCCACAAGAGTTCATACGGAGGTTAAAACTGAGAGAGGAAGTAAGTGAGAGGCCATGCAGTCTGACAAATTCCAGACTTCAATCAAACAAACCACTCTGACAAAAGAGGCATATCGTGATGTTTCTCCTGAAAAGCAGGATTTCAAAATGAAGTGCAAACGTGAAAACAGAAAACTTGCTCGCAAAGCAGGCTGGTATTGAGATGCTAGGCTTTTTTTTTTAAAAACAAATTTAACAAAGGCCAAAATGTATTATATTTTTCTATCATGTCAACTATCACACAACTGAAGTGTCATTTAAGTAGAAAAAATACAAAACATCTGAACAGATATGCCCCAGCACTGTAACTTGTTATTTTTATGCACCGGTAAATCAAACTTCTTCACTTAATGATGATTTATTGACCAAACGTACAACTGCCCACCAGCTGTTAGCCAATCAGGAGCAGCAACATAATGGCCAGAGAGGCAGTGATAGGACGATAGTATGAAGGGGAAGAGAGAGAAGAAATCAAATGAGGGGGGAAACAAATGATAATAAAGAAGAAGTTGAGGTTGGAAATAAGAGAAGAAATAGGATTTTTATGATTTGGCAGCATTTAGGATTTACAAGAGTAGATGTGAGATAGAAAAAGAAAGCGTACAAGTTCATAAACCAACACACACACACAGCAGAACAGGCACCTATGAACCACTCAATTTAAGTACTGTATGCTTTTCATTGTCTTCATATTGCTCTGTTAATGTTTACCCATGTCACAGGACAGCTGTATTATCAGTGCCTCAGCTAGTTGCAAGCCTCAGTGGTTTTAGTTATTACAATATAGAACATTCTTGTAGATTTCAACACTCAGAGCACCACTGCATCTACAGAGTTATAACAAGGAAGTTATAAAGATCTGAAATGTTTATGATACCACAATATTACCAGATGTCACCATGATACTGGAATACTGACTAAAATAAACACAACACGCTGTTTTTTTTTTTTAAAACATATTGTGCTGTCCTACCAAACACAGACTGACTCAGAGCAGCAAAGACAAACAAAGGCCGCGGACTGTAACAGCTCCACCTTACAGATTCATGTGACTCTCCAACCATCACCTGACTTTCTCTCTCCTTTCTATGGAAGCTGCTTACAGGCAGGGCAACCAGGGAAGACTTGACCCCAAGTCAAATTTATGTTCGAGATATTGAGGAAAAGAGTACAGAGACTGTTTGTCTACGTGCTGCACCATCATTAAAACATCTCTACGCTCCACCCATGCAACACAGGCTCACAAAATCGCTAGCAACCAGCCTATATCCCCACTCGCTGATAAAGTGTGCCTTTGACCGAACCCTCAGAGATAAAGGGAGTCAACCTTTTGGATAGGGAGGGGACAATGTCCAGCGGGGCTGCACTCCTGAACCTGCACCATGTACCATGTCCTCATATTTACATGTGAATCCAGAGGTGAGTCAGAGGGGAAGCAGAAGGAGAGCACTGTAATCAGTGAGTCACTTTGCATATCCAAACTTCCTTTTTACAGGCAACAGAGAGGCCCTCCACTCCATTCAAACAGCACCCTATGGTGGTCCGAGGTAATGTAGGAGCCTGCCAAACACTTTGGAGCCCCTGAGGCATCAGTTTCTGCACCTTGCCACACAGCAGTTATCGGTATTACCCAACTGCAGTATTTAATGTACAATTGTATGAAGAAAAACTCGACCTCGATGGTAGTCAAACTCAAATCCTGGCCCACATAGGTTGTCTAGCCTGAGTGACACTGAAATTTTGTCTGTGAACTCCATGTTAATATTTCCAACAGTGAAACGAAAAATACAAGCTTTAATTACAGTATTACTACATTATCAATACACCAGTAAAACTGTTTGCAATGCAGTACAGTTCCAATGAATTCAACAATCGGGCATTTTAATACAGCTCAGACCGAGCTTTGCATATTGCCATGGAGAAAGGTCAGACGTGCTGACATGATGAGATATATGTATAATTTTCCAAAGGACAACTACAATTGTTGCTTGACTTGCCACACCCAGAGTAAACATATCTCAGCCATATTCATATATGACATGACACCAGCACACACCGCAGAGCTTTCACCTCAAACATGACACAAAGAGCACATACAAAGCAAGGATGTGACTATACTTTACAGGCCAGCTCACTTATCCGACTCCGAGTATCTTATGGCTGCACAAACAACTGACATAGCATGTACTTGTGGATTTAACTTTTTTTTTTTTTTTCACACCTAAAAGTATCCACAGCTCAAAATCATAGCACAAAATGTAATTTCAAAGTTTGTACTCACTATTGTGCGCAGTCGATGAGCTGGTATTCATTGGACCTCTCAAAGCAAGCTTTCACTCCTTCGTCGTCCCACAGCTTTTTTGCGTGATCGAAGAACTCCTGAGGAAAGAGAAAAAGGAAACATTAAGACACAAACAACAGACAATAATATACAAGTTATTATATCATGTGCGCTGTAGCTTACAATTGAACTGCTAACTACTACTACTACTAAAGTCTCCAGAAATGTAGAAGTGCAGAAAATGTCCTTTGAAAATACAACTTTTCATAGTTTCACAATGACCAGTGCCAGCAGCGCTCCAACATTTTGGTAAGTTCCTGTCTTGGAATTTGCTTTGCCCAGCTGTGTGGTATTTCGGTGCCCACAACAGAGGGCCTGCTGCAGGTTTTAGGTTTGGGAAAAGGCGCAAACCAATGGGAGGTTCATTCAAATCAAGCAGAACAAAGAGTCAATGGTATTTCGGTAGAAAAAGTAACTTTGTGCTGAGAAGACATTGCAAAACCACATCTGTTTCTGGTGCACATACATCTGTTGCCACTTTGGTAATTTTATTAGCAAGAGCACATGTATGGTAATAATTGATTAGTGCTTAAAATGTAAATAAACAGTTTTAACTGATCACACTTCCACCAGTAGTGTTTCAATTGCTATAAAAACATTTACTGTGGTCACAGTGGGGACGCACGCAAACCAGTCCACATTATCAATAAAATAATACGACAGAAGTTTTCACAGCTGCTTTATACAGTACGAGACGTCTTTCCTTCACTTCGTTAAATCCTGAAGCCACCTGAAGGTAGCCGCTCAAATATGCCGATAGATGTGCAGCCCCTGAATGCAGAAGTGCTGCACCAGTGCCATTACGCATGATCTTCCACTATGTTTACCTTCAGTAAATCACCTATAAATGACAGCAGGTTGCCACAGAATGACCACACATACACACTTCTACACACATAGGGCTGATTCACTATGACTCTGTAATCTGCTATGTGGGAGACGCGGGATTACACTTACTTTTATCACAACTTCCATATAATTTTTAGTATTTTTACCATAGAGCAGAACAGAGGAAGCGCTGTTGTACCACACTGTATGCCATGATGTAAACATTTTTGACAACATAAAGCAGAATTACGCTTGAACAGCCTTGACGGCTTCATCGACAGGATGTATTCATGATTTCTAGTATTGATGTATTAATTAACTGTTAAAAACCCATATCATCTGACTCGCTGCAGATCTGATGGTGTTGTAGGTTCATGCTATTCCATTCTGCACCACCCAGACAACAATATGACTTCCTGGAGAAGCCTCTTCATTTGTTGAGCTGCTGTCATCATGCGTCACTGAGATTGGCTAAGCTATTCCAGGGCAAAGAGAACAGCGATGTGACTGGCTGAGGGCATATTTATTGATCATCGTGCCCTCCGATTTATATTCCATTTCAGTCAGCCTTTCTGCACTTAGCGCTGCTTTACATGCATGAATCAAAATAGTAGATATACATGAAAACATCCACACAATCGGCGCACGAATGAGCTGTTGCCTCGCGCTTGTCATTGCACGTGCACATTTAAAATAGGACACTTGTTGCGACTTGTCCTATTTTGATTATCAACATTTGGTTTGTTGATTAAGCAAATCAACAAACCAAATGTCTTTTAGAGCCATTTTGCGTTCACCAGAGAAAGGGATCAGCAACACCAAATACCACACTGACAGTTACATACAGTACATTTGTCACATAAACACTGCAGCCCGACCTAACTTCTTCTACTGCCTCACACAAGTACCACAACCAAGAGGAGTGGAAGAAGTAGTGCGGTATCTAACTCAACAAGTAAAATTTCCAGACAGACACTTACCAGGCATACGGCTGCAAGCGCAGCTTCCCAGAGTTTGTCAGATTTTATCAAGCCTATACAGGGACCTACTGTATTTAACACCCATGCTTAGAGCTCATCTTGCAACCTGTACAGGACGCACTATACAAATTATTAAACCGTTGATGTCCAAGACATAATTCCAACACTAAACTCTTGAAGTATTCCCTTTATTGAATCAGATGTTGTATAAATAGAAGGGGGGAAAAAACAACTGCGGAAATCTACTAAACCCAATCTTGCATCTATAAAGACTTCAGAGTTTCCTAGTCCCATATGGTGACCTTTGAAGGACCAGTTTTAGCCTCTGTTAATTTTTTTTTTCATTCTAACAATTTATTTGATGTATTCGATTGTCTTTCAGTACAATGCCATATCCTTCTTTTTATTCCCATAAAAATGTATGGCTCTCTGTATTTCTTGCCTTTCTAACTGCATCACCGCATCAACAATCAGCGTAAGTTCGACATCAGCTATGTCATATTTCCAAAAAAGAAAGGTAAAATGATGTTACATTCTATATATAGTAACAAGAATACTTTATATTAGTACACGTAAATCTCTCTTGTTGGTATCGAGTGAGTTGATTTGAGTGCCTCATTCACTTCCTTGATACAAGTTTTATCCAACAGTTCCTAAACACAAACTCATGACTTCCTGGTCACAAGCTCTTTGCGCTGAATTCGAAGATAAAACCTCCCAAAAAAGTGGATGCTATAGCTCAATTATGATCCAATTCAGATAATGCTACAGAGAAAAAAAATCTTAACGCCCCCTAAAACCCATAAACGTCACCTGCACTCGTTCTGTAGTGGGATGAGGGTAACTCATCTTATCAATGACTTTGAGACATTTCCCAGGACTCTCCTAAACAAAGATGATTGGGCTAATATCCCTGGTCGCCTCCTGCGCACATGTCTTTCAGATGGGCTCCTCCTCTAGCCTGGAACCACCACATGACTCTCTGCACTCAGCACTGGCTCTGCGCTCCGACTGGGGAGAGGGTGAAAGTAGCCCCGAACCAAGAGAGAGAGGGAGAAGGAGCCTGATAAATGATCACATGCTCCGGGAGATCTCCTCTCGGCAGATCCGGTGATTAAGTTCAACATGGAGAAAATCCACTGATCCAGTACTTACAAGCCTCGCAGAGAGAGAGACATTAATATTTACTTTTTTTTTTTGTAACAGACGTGTACAGCATCGCTTAGTGAGGTATAACCTAAACATTTTGATGCTATTATGTCACACATTATACCAAAGTATGCTCCATGAACACACGACACGACCATGGTTCAGTTTTCTGCGGCGTAGCGTTAACTTGGTATGCCAAAAACTCTTGAATAACAAAGAAAATTGGGCCATATTTGCTTTCTTGCCTGTATTTACTTCCACTTGAGTTGTGGTCAAACTTTTAACACCCACCTCAACTAATATCAGCAAAATATAACATTGCCGATTACACTTTTGTGCTAATAAATGTCACAAAATGTTTTTACACAAGCAGACATCGAGGGGTTTGAGACCCTAAAAAAAAAAGGTCTGACGAGGCTGGTGAGCGTTGGGGGTTGATGGAGGGAGGATGAGAAGTCGAGGGTAGAAGGGGCAGTAAGAGCGAAAAAAAAAAAGGAAAAAAAAGCAGCGTATGGTCCTCAGGGCTCTTTTCCACAGAGGCGTGTGACACTGGGCCTTTGAATAAATGCAGTGTGTGCTGCAGTGCCCTACAGAGGAACTGATAACACAGAAAGAGACCAGGAGGGAATTTGCTTTAACACAAGTTTTTTTAACTCTTTCCTATGCTCTTCCTAGTTCACTTCTACTCCCCAGTCGCCATCACCAGCCATTAGGTGTTTGTTCCCCGGTGGCTCGGCTACGACCGATTCTCCCTTCAACCCTCTGTTAATAAAGTTTGTCATGTAATATGTCACCTGAATCATATAGGTCAGGCCGACACAGAGGACAAAATGGCCTACATCTAATTCAACTTATCAAAACAAAGTTGTGGAGCTAATGGCTTGCATCTTCTGTCACAAGGGAACGCTGGAATTCCTTTGGGTTTTATAGAGACCCTTGGCATTACAGAACAATGTATAGCAACAATAATAACCTCAAATCCCTCCATACATAGCCATCCAGATGTACCGTTTGGCTCTTCGGTGAACCATCATCATCACATTTATTGGATTCGAATAGTATATCAGTGTTAGATAACAGTCACCGGGCACGGAGAGACCTGACTTTCATGGGTTACCTCAGTTAAAGAGTACAGACAAATTTAGCTTAAAAAAAAAAAAAAGAGAGAGAGAGAGAGAGAGAGCAAAAGCAAAGAAGAGAGGGAGCGACTGTTCAAGACTGTTCATCTTTCATAACATGGTTTCAAAAATCAGAGCAGCTCTCCATGCCACTCTCTGCCCCACATCATAGATCCTCAAGTGATCAATTAGAGGAAAAAACAAACTTCTAGGGCCTAAACCGTTCACCGTGAGGAAATCTCCAAGACGCTAACAACATGGAAATGCTAGAGAGGTGCTAACTTCAATGGCCGTAGTGGGAGGGAAAAAAAAGAAGCACAAAGCGGGTCACGTTTCTTTATAGGAAGTAGTAATTACAGCCCGGCCTGTAAACTGACATCAGACAATATTAAATAATGCTACAGACTCACTGGCAGCTGTTGGGCTGTTGATGCGCACAAGTAAGATTTAAACAGCTCCATAGCAAAGTGACTCTGCACACAAACAGAAAAGTAAATCAGCTCAGCAGTGGGTGTGGGCTGGACATAATATAAAGCTCACCTTTCACAAAAGACAATCACACATAGCTTGAAGAAGAAAAAACTTAGGTGGGCTTTATCCTGGTCCTTTTGTTCAGTGTCGATATAAATAACATTAACGGGTTTCAAATGGTACTCGGTGACATGCTTGTTTCAGGAATAAAAGGAGAACATTACATGTTGTTTTCAGCATGCCTAATAGAGAGAAAGAACATGGTGAAAACAGGGGCCAAGGCTCATTTGAATTTGCTTCACTTCAGTTGACAGACACTGTCAAGTGGCTAATGTTGCTACCGCAGTGGTATTTGCTTCCATTTGCATAGATGACCGTTTGTATCTGTGCTTCTTTTTCCATGGGTCTACTGTTATATCCCAAGCTGCTGTAGGAAAAAGTTTTTTCAACTGTGGTTCACAAGGGTGCTTGGATTAGAACCGCCATCGCAACTAGGACAACCAGGACAACCAGGACAAGAGCAAAGTGCTGTATCACAAAACCCCCAGTCAGGAACATGCATGGAAGTCTAATTTTTACAAATTGAATCTAAAAATCCACTAAAAATCTACTTTCTCTTTAAAAATCTGCTTCCAGTTTAGCTTTGATTTTACGATTATTTGGTAGCATTTTCTTATTTCTGACCTGTCTGTGACTGAGCTAACCAAAAACCACCAAAAACAATGACCAACACTTGCTGGTTCCGTCTTCTCGGATTCAAGATTTTGATGCTTTTTGATGTGTTTAACCTCAACTCAAACACTGAACACTGGGAAACTTTTACAGTCATGATTCTGTGACATCTTACATCAGAAAATAAATACAAGACAACAATCAGCACATTAAGTGGCATTAAAAATAACTGCCATGGTTTGCAGCCTGAGAGAAAATTCCATTTTGGTACATGCCGATCTATTACCATCACATCTAATTATACGGCGAAACATTTGGGGAAATCTGGGAAGTGAAAGATTTGTGTCCGTTTCCTTTAACGCTATATAACAAAACATGACGTCATCCGATCAAAATTTTCCAAGTAAAATGTGCTTCCATGTTTCAGAGCGGCGCCAACAGGTGAAAGCCACAGGTTACTGATTGGCCGTGTTCCTGCGCTGCTGTATTGGATATCATGCCTGGTGGCACTGAGTGACAATGTAGTGGTGACACTGACGGCACAAAGTGAAGCCCGAGACCGATGACAAGCACAGACGCTCCAAACAGAGCCATGTTGTTCCCTTTGGCCTGGCCGGGCCTGGGAACTCAACGACGACTCTCCCCATGGCCCCGGCCCTCACACAACACAACATCACAGCGCCACAGACTACTGCTGCTGCCCTGTTAGCGCTCTCACTGTGGGCCCTGGCAGGAAATTAACACCCAAATGCGTTCAATGGGTGTTCTTGTGATGTAGCATTAAATAAAGTTGCCGAGAGGGAAGTTTGAAAACAGCATGCTAAGATGCAAAGTGGCAATGCAAAAGTGATACCACTTTAAAGACAAAGCACAGCTGTACAGTATGTGATTGTAAAGATTAGACCTGAGGACTGCTGTGAGATCCAAAAAAGAAAAGTATTTCATTCCACAAGACTTCAACATCAGCCAGAGACCAAAACCTCCTATAAGACTAATTCATATTCATTAAAAAATGTCCAAAAGTCAAAGATATTTAACTTACAATTATATAAACACAGAAAAACAGCAAATCCTCACACTGGATAATCTGATATATTTTCCTTTCATCAACAATTAATTAGTTACTAAAACAGTTACTGATCATCTTTCTGTCCATTAATTGATCTACTAATAATTCCATCTCTGAAAACAAGCTTTTGCAATAATGTCTTAATGGTTTTTGTAGCAGAGGAAACAACAGATGTGGTTTTTAAACTGCTTGACAGGAATTGCTGTCAATTCCACTACAGGGAATGTCAAAAGTGCTGATCAATACACCAAAAAAGGGAGAGCAACCCTGAACTTGGATCACAAAGAATAGCATGCTAATACTTTAATTTGATTCCCATCAAAAGTGCATTAACAAAACTATTTTAAGCTCCACGAGTCTCTGTATTAATCTGTCATTCCTGTCTTATGGTGCTGCACAACCAGTGTCACACAAGGAACACTATCAGAATTATGTAAAACATTATCTACATTTCCAAACACATGACCTCGTGCTATCGAACGGCTGATCACACACCGAAAAGAATCCCATCTGCTGCAACTTGCGCTGAAATCTGCATACAGTAAGTCGGCTTTGACAGGGAATCAAGCCTTTAACAAGCAACCGCGCTGGCTAACTGTTGATTTCACACGGGTTAGTTGTCATTTCCATTCTCTACCGTACATCCTCTGAAGGAAAGACAGCACTTTTAGCAAAAAAAGAAAAAGAAACAGACCTCGCTATATCAGAACAAGCAGTAAATTTGGTTCTGTTGTAACGTTACATCCGACAACATCAGACAGTACATCCGGTTGTAACAGTACATCCGACAAACCAGAGTTATATCACCGATCTGCACTGTTGGACATGGCACACTAAAAACAGCAAACCCATACCATCACATGCCATCCAACACCCACACAAAGACACATAAGAAGACAAAAAAAAGCACATATGCAACATACGAGCAAATCCACCCTCACACAAGCTCACACACAGTAATTTTACAAATCGTCTTACCTGTGAATAGTCAAAGTCAGAGAGTGGTGCTATGCTTTTGATGTATTCGATTCTGAATTGGTCCTCTGGGTTGGCTAGCGGGACTGGGGGTATTAAAGTGCTCATCGCAGACACTATAGTCTACAAAGCAGAAGTTAAAGGAGAAAAAAAAACAACCATTAAACAGGATGAATACATGAAGGAGGGGGGGGAATGAGCGTAAGCCCATATAATAATCAGTAAAATGGGATTTAGTGTAACAACAGAGACACTGAGCACATTTGGGGAGGTGATACAGATGAAACTCACCACTATGGCATCCTTCACGTTTTTCCGAATATCTTGGATTTTCTGTTTCTTTTCTCTGCATGGGGATGGAGGGGGGCACAGAGGAGACGTGTGAGAGGCAGCGAAAACACAACAGACCGCAAAAGGTTTATCATAAGAGGTAGTTATGAGTAAGACGAGGGGTTACAGCCGGGTTAGACTGTACTGTGATACAATTAAGCACAGGTGTTGAAGGCTGGGGAAGAGCAGGTAAATGCAAAAAAATAAAAATAATTGAGGCGATATGATGTGCTGCAGTCAGAATTTTTCTCATTTTTTTAATCTTAAAACTGCAAGATCATGCCTCCCCTGGATGCACACTTTGAATGCACACATATAAAGAGGATTTTCATACAGTTACACGACTCTAACATGTACTAGGCCTGTTTAAAATAGACCACTGTTAAGATCAATGCCATGCAAGGCCTTGCAGCAAAACAAATCATCAATAGGCCTGTGTCGATCACAACCTTTCACCCTCTCACATGAAACAGGAAACAGTGAATTATTTGCCTCTGAGATCCTCACATAATGTACACAACACACACACACAAAGATAAAAAATAAAAAAGAGGTAAAGGAGAGAAAGAAAGGGGGGAAAAGATATTAGCTGCTTTGCATGGGATACAGGGCCCAACAGGCGCTGCAGTGCCTGGGGAAAATCCATTCACAGGCTATATCCTGGCCTCGACAGTGTTATTCATTAGGAGGGAAGCCATAAAAATAAGCAGAAATGTCGTTTCGTGAGCCGCTAATGTTGCTATTTAACACAGAATAGCACTCACTCCGCGTTGAAGCCGTTGACGTGTAGGATCCTCATCTGCTTCACAATGGTGCTTTTTCCGGACTCTCCCGCACCTTCGAGAAAAAAAAAAAAAAAATACATGAAAATATCACCAAAAACGACCACGAATACACACATCCTGGTTATCGTAGCACACAGAAAAGACGGTTTTTTTGGAAACGAAGGCAGCTAATTGTGGGCTCTGGAAGGCTTCGCTTCCATCAATATCCACCCCCATGACATATTATTGCAAGCGCTGTCAAATGGGGCTACGTGTTCGGTAAACGAAAGGGATTACGGTTAGCTTACATTTCACATAGCCGTCACATAGAAACCCAGCCTTACCCAGTAGCAAGAGCCTGTGTGTGGCTTTATACGCTTGTCTTTCCTTCTGCAGCTGCTTTTCTATCTTTTTATTAGCCTCTCGTTGTGCCTTTTCGTCGATGCGTTGATCTTCAGTCTTGCTGTTGCCCAAACAACCCATCTTCCGTCGCCCTAACCCTTCCTTAGTGGAATCGTACAAATAAAAAAAAAAAAAAAAAAATGTAAAAAAAAAAAAAAACCCCAACAACAAACAAACAACAACACCCGAGATGATATTGTTGGGTTTAAAAAAAACACAACACGAGAATGCTGTTTAAAAAATAAAAAAAAATAAAAATTAAAAATAAAAAAAAAGGGGGGGAGAAGAAGAAAATCTCTGCGAGGCTTCTCTCCGTCGGAGGGAGGAATATGTTCCCCGTTACAATTCCGCTTTAGCCGCAGCCGACCGTCATCCAAAAAACCGTTTGCTAGCTAACAAACCGACGAAGAATAGCGACTCGCTTCAACAACGGAATACCATTTAAAAAACGCATAAATAAGAAGAGAGAGGAGGAGGGGGGGGATTTCAATTTCTGGGAATCCAGTCAACTGTTCCTATCGCGTCTCCTACCCCTCTCTTCTCTGTGTTTTTTTTTTTTTTTCTATCTGAATTTCTATCAGTATTTCTGTCTCTTTAACTCAGCACTGCCTCTCTCTGTGGCACCAGGAAGTAGCCGCGGACCGTGGAGGTGGAAAACAAACCTGCGTTAATAAACCGAAACACTTAAACGACAACAAGCCGCGCTCGAATAGCATTTTACGAGTCGTGCTGAGGCGGAGGCACAGCAGCCATTCCCCGGTTCTGGTCCGTCGCCGTCCCGCTATCGAGCTAGTCGGCAGTGTGGGGTGGAAACCCGGACGCCTCTGTGCTGCTCTCACAGAGGGGCTGGGTCTCTTCTAGTTGGCTTCCAGTCAGCGAAACGGCCCTGACCCAACCTGGCAACCCGTTTACACCGAGTCTGGCTGTGTGTGTGTGCACTGGCCTCTGCCTTCTAACACACAAGTCTGGCAACACATCATGGCAGACGCTTTACTTCAGTAAAAGTAACAGTACAACTACTTACAAGTGCCTTGTTCCTTGTAAAAGTACTACAATACGGATTTTACACTTGTCAGCACGAGCAAAAGGTCCCGTATTACGGATTTGACACCAGTACAGGCAGCAACATGTGCCCCTATAGTCACTGTGCAAAACTACATGATCACACACAGTTCATGCTAATAAAGTAAAAGTATAAATTCAACAGTGTAGAAATATTCTATTACAAGTACTACATCAAGATTTGTTTTTATCTTAAATATTACTACAAAAGTATTAAAGTATTTGTTATGCAAAATGGACCATTTTACAATATTGTTATATAATTTTATAGTTTAATCAAACAACCTGTTATTTGTAAAAGTTGTATTCTAAGGATTTAGTTAGTATAAGCAACAACATTTTGTAGTTATTGTGCAAAAGTGGTCATACTACATTATATCATCTAATTACGTTTATTAATGCATCAGTGTAAAATCGATGTAAAAGTCCTATATAGGATATTTTATAACAGTACAAGTACTACTTCAGACAAGTAGATTTACTCTAGTTCGAGTGCAAGACATATATTGTTTGATTGTTGTTATTGATGTATCAGTGGCGGAACAAGTACTCACAACACAGAAGAAAGTAGAAGCAGCGTAGAAACACTGTATTATAAGTACTACACTGAGATTTTCTTCTTAAACATTAGTACAAAAGTATTAATCTTAAAAACTGTTAATAGTGAAGGTTCTTGTGATGCTAAATGTATAGTTTATCATTATCACATTACATATAAAAGTCCTATGTCTTGGATTTTACAACAGTTAAAGTTGAACTTCAACAGAGTAGATTTACTCTATTACTTGTACTAGTTTTTTTTAAATTAGTACAAAAGTATTCCTATTAGTACTTAGATGCTTTAATCAAGTAAAAGTAGCAATAAAACTATTAGCCTGTTCCATGTAAAAGTTCTATATTAAGGATTTTACTTCAGTATAAGCAACATGTGCCTCTACAGTCATTGTACAAAACTTTACTATCACACATTTATCATTCATTTGATGTTATGGAGGCATCAGTGGTAAAAGGAAAAGCAGAAATTCAACAGAGTAGAAATATTCTATTATTATTATTATTATTATTATTATAAGCACTACATTCTGATTTTTCCGTAAATATTAGTACAAAAGTAACAGCGTCAAAGTATTTGTTATGCAATTCTAAAATACTGTTTAACTATCCAGCCTGCTACATTTAAACGTTCTGAGGATTTTACACTTGTTAGGACAAGTAACAACATTTTTCAGGTTACTGTGCAAAAGTGCTCATACGATATTATCATATATATATCATGATTGCTTTTAATAATGCATCTGTGCAAAGTTGATCCTATGTAGAAGATTTTACAACAGTATCGGCAACAACATGTGCCTCTGTAGTCACTGTGAAAAAGTTGATTGTCATATATATAACTTGATCAGTATTGTTGATGCATCAGGGCTGGAACAAGTACTTCATTAAATGTTTTCCTAAATATTATTACAAAAGTGTTAGCAATTACATTTTAGCACTTAAAGTAATTCTTAAGGAGAATGGCCCAATTCACAATAATATATAATTTAGCTTGGATTTTACAGCTTGTTACATGTAAAAGTCTTATGTTACTGATTTAACACTTGTTAGTGTGGGCAAAATGTCCCTTATTAAAGATTTCACTACAGTATAAGCAACAAAATGTGCATCTGTAGCCACTGTGTAAAACTACATTATCACACATATGTTGTTGATGCATCAGTGGTAAAGTAAAAGTAAAAATTCAACAGAGTAAAAATACTCTATACTGATAAATATTGCTACAAAGAATTAGCGTCCGTGTGAAAATATTCTATTACAAGTGTTACATTAAGATTTTTTCATAAATATTAGTACAAAAGTATTAGCATCAGGTCTCTGATACATTACTGAAGTAAAAAAAAAAAAACTATACAACTATTTAAAAACACTCTGTAACATTAAAAAAGTCCAACAATAAAGGCTTCACACTAGTGATATGTGATTATTTTTACTGGTGCAGCAGTGGTGACATAACCAGTCAAATCTTTAAGTAAAACTGGAAATACTGTGGAGTAGAAATACTCCATCACAAGCTGTGCATTCAGATTTGTTTTTCTATAGTATTAGCGTCAACATTTTAGTACTTTAGATGCTCATTATGCATAATGGCCAATACAGTCTGTTACATGTACCAGGATAAAGAACAATATGTGCCTCTGTAGTCATTGTGCAAAACTATATCATCATAAATGTACTGTTGGATTATTGTTATAGATCCATCCGTGGTGGAGCTACATCATTTTTTTTCTTTATTTATTATTTAAAAAGTTTTTGCCTCAAAATTTTCTTGTTATGCAGAATGGCCTATTTACAGTCTGGTACACGTAAAAGTATTTTTATTACTTTATATACTATGAGCTTATAAATTTATCTCCAAGCATCAATGCAGTTTTATATTAACATATAATAATTCATTATAACTTGCTTGCTATTTTTGAATTCATAATCTGAATCTACCTAAAATTATCAGGTGGCCTAAATGCAGTCTAGTACCTGTCTGCATAAATACACAAATACAATACAAGCACCTCAAATGTACTTTATAAATGTACTAACCTCTATCATATTCTAATGCATTTTAATGTGTAAGCTGTAATACCACTGACATGTGCAATAATTATTGTTATAGTAGTTATTTTTAGAAGTAGCGCTTATGTATATTTTGGTTTATTTTTTATACATTCCTGAAATGTTTGCACTATCTTTGCTGCTGTAACACTGCAAATGTCCCCACTGTGGGCCAAACAAAGGGTTATCTTATCTTATCTTAACAATGCTTTGAGTAACTGGTAAATATATTCTTTCAAATCATTGTAAGAGTAAAAAGTCCAACTTTTGGGGGGGTTTTTTTGGAAAAATTACTGTAGTGAAGCACAAGGGCCTTACAGCTGGAGTAAATGTACTTTATAGAAAACATATATATGAAACAATAGTAATTGTTGTGTATAATAAATCATTAAATAAACTCACTCACTGTACTTAAGCAAGACTGAAACGTCTTCTATCCCAGGCGTGCATTCTGCAAAACTTACTAATTAAATGATCCTGAAGAAACGCTCTCATCTTGCCTCTACTGCTGTGTATGTATAGCAAAATGACAATAAACTTGATTTGATTTTTGATTAAGTACAACTTCACAGTGCTTGCACTTTACTCAAGTACTTCACGATAATTTGTACTTTCACTCCACGACATTTCACAAGTATTATATCTTCTTGCTTCACTACAGAAATATTGGTACTAATTCACTACAGCGTAAACAGCATTTTATGGAACCAATTTACTATTTTATGCACTGCTGGAATGTTTTATATAAACCTGTAAACTAACTAGCGATAATACCTGTAGAAACGTCTAAAGTGAATTCCCCTTGGCACAAGTGAAACGTGCCAAAACTCACGTAAAGCTACTTTAATGACTCGCTTGTGTGCTGTACTTACGTGAATGCGCTTCCACCACTGGAGCTATTTTGATGTCAGTATGATGCAAATCATGACAAAAGGGGTAAATTCCAGTCAAAATTAATGTTCTCGAGGCTTTAAACAGTTAAAAGTGTACACGACTGCAATTTCT